AGATATATAAAGAATCCTCAAAACTTAACAGTTAAAATTCAACTAGAAAATAGGCAAAAGAGGGAGTTAAATGGTGGTGCAGTGGTAAAGCATGAGTCTATAAAACACGTGGAAACTTTGACATATGAGGTTCGTGTCTCAAGACCTTGGGGACACCAGGCACAAAACTGTTCATGACTGACGGTTCGCTGAAGCTGAGGATAGATGGATCTGTGGCAAGGTCCTGTTGAGAGTGGTTTCTCTGTTCATATCTCTCTCTTGCTTATGAAAGAAATAAATGAATACCTTTCTTTCTTAGAGGTTTTTGTGTGTGACGCCAGAGGGACAGAGAGAGACAGAAAGACAGAAAACAAGGTATCACCCCCCAGGGGGGATGGCCACACCGCAATCCCTTCTCCTCCATTCTCCTCTCAGGATCTTGGGCACGCACTCACATGCGCCCAGTGTGACATTAAGCCACCAGGTCCAGAACACAAACAGTGTTTGACCACGTGGGAGTCCAGCGACATAGCCATTATGTTAACTGCTGGTCCCAATGAATACTTTTTAAAAATAAAATAGGTAAAAAGACTTAAACTCACATTTTAGAGAATATACAGATGGCAAACAGCCACATGAAAAAATTTTCGACTTTATTGGTCATTAGATAAATGCAAATTAAAACCACAATGAGATATCACTACCACACCTACTAGAATGACTAAAATGAAAAAAGAGAGGCAACACCAAGCACAGAAAAACTGAATCAGTCATACATTACCAAAGAGAACATATGATAATAACCACTCAGGAAAATAACTGGGTATTTTCTTTAAAACTAAACATGCAACCACCCACACAATCTAATATTTGTTTTCCTGGTTATTTATCCCAGGAATGTAAAAACTTTGTTCACATGAAAACCTATACATGAGTGATGACAGCAGCTTTGTTTATAATAGTCAAAAATGGAAAATAATTCAGATATTTTACTATGGTTAAACAAGATGTAATACATGCTCACTATTAAGTTCTACTCAGCAATGAGAAGAATGGACTTTTGATACATGCAACATTTTGTTTGTTTTTCAGAGATTTATGCTACAGGATGCGTGTGCTTGCTGGAGAGACAGAGGGAGACAGAGAAACACAAAGCAAGAAATCACCTCCCCCCGGGGTTGGGGGATGACCACATTGCAATCCCTTCTCCTCCATTCTCCTTTTGGGACTTTGGGGCACGCATGCACTTGTACCCAGTGTAGTTTCAAGTCACCAAGTCTGGGATTTGAACCAGTTGACTACGTGGGAGGCCAGTGACTAACTGTTACGCCATGCAACAACTTGTGGTAAAGAAAGGCTAATCAGCCCAAAGGAAGATGAAGTATGATAAAATTGATCAGAGCCAGGAGACATGAACAATGAAGCCTTAGTCATGCACACTAGCTGTAACCCTCAAAATGTCCACATTGCTCAGTAGTTTACAATGGGTTGGGCTCACGCTCTCCACACTCTGTGGAGGATTAAGCATGCTGACCTAAAATTACCATGAGATCACTCTGTTCCCCTTATCATTGTATTTAGCCAATTACTATTGCACAAGAGCTCCAACTGTGGTCTTTCAACCAATGTAAAGTTTGACTGACAAACTAATGATGCAATCCCCCTCCCTGTTTGCAGCATGTGCCTTTAAAATAATTCTAAAATCTGTAAGAGTTTGGCGCAAATTCAGGGAAATTCGAATTGTGGCACCAGGTGGTCATCCTCAAACCTAACCCAAATAAATTCCTTTTTAAAAACAAAAAACAAAACCATACTTAGCCTCAGTTTCCCTTGAGTCGACACTTAAATAAATCTCCAAGGAACTGTGCTATGTTAAGAAAAAATGGAAAGAAAGGAAAGAAAAGGAAAAAGAAAAAAATCTTGGGCTGAACAACGGCACAATAGTAAAATCAAGACTCTGGGGGGGACTAGCAGGTGGCATGGTGGCTAAGGTGCTGGACACTCCCACATAGCTGAGCACGGTTTGAGTCCTGGATTTGGTGGCCTGCTGTCTCACTTTCCATCTCTCTTTCTCTCTCTCTCTCTCCATGTCTCTCTTTGGTTAAATTAAAATAAATTAATGAATAAATAAATAAAATTAAATAAATAATTTAAAAAACACACACACACAAAAACAAAAAGCAAGACTCTGTGAAGCAGACCCACATTGGGAGGGCCGCCAGTTGGAACTGAAGACCTCGAGTTACCAGGGCTTGGGTTTGCCACATGTGTGTCTGTGATCCAGGCTAGTGAGGCTGAGGGCGGATCATGGGTCAAGATCCTGCCAGGGATGCTGTATCTGTCTCTCTCATTCATGGAATAAAAAGTAAACTTTTAAAAGGCCCATCTCGAAAGATAACATACCATATGATTCCATTTATGTAACATCCTTCAAAAGACAAAATTATAAAAATGAAGAACAGAGATCAGTGGTAACTAGGGATTAAGAAGGTGGAGAGTGTGGGACGGAAGGATGTGGCTGTACCGGGCAGTGTGAGAAGTCCTGTGGTTATGAAAATGTTCTGGGTCATAACTATGTCTCTATCAATATCCTGGCTGTGATTTTATAGTGTAATTGCAAGGTGTTATCAGTGGGGAAGAGGGCACAGGGAATTTCTCTGTGTTTCTTACAATTGCGTGAAAAATCTATGATTAACTCAAGATGACAAGTTTAATTTTTTCAAAACATAAAAAGAAAAGATTAGATACATTTTAAACAGGATGACTCCAGAATTGCATCTGGAAAGAACTGCTCAATTTTTCCTGTGTTTAAAATACTTAAATGGACCTCTTTTTTGCTGTAAAAGATCCTTTACCCTCCCACACAGCATTCCTTCCCAATCTGTCTACACTATACACTAGGAGAGGTGATCCCAGGGAAAATAGGAGAAGGCTCTCGGGAGTTCTGAAATTAGTAACAAAGCCAACTTGCTCAGTCATGGGTGTGTTTCTGGTGTTCTTAGGGGGGAATTGATAGATATGGGGTGTTGTCAAGATTCACCTGGAGTTCTTGCTGCTTTGAGTAAGTATCCTCTACTCGGAATAGTACATGTGTCTAAAACCCTGACTCATGACTGGAGATAACTTCACAATGAATCAAGCTCTGACATTTTCTTGAGAAACAAAACGAACAATATGTTTATTCTGTTCTCCTAGGAATAGATTTTGAAACTTTTTAGTTTATCAGATTTGTAAATCTGGCAAACTGGGAGAACTGTTTTATAGACTTCTAATATCGTTCCATGTCTGTTTATTGTTCTGAATGTGTTTGTCTAGAAGAGGGAAAGTCTACTGGGAAGGGACCATCAAAGGCCCCTAAGCCTGTCCTCTGACTCCAGGGGCTGAGAGGTCAGGAAGACTGGCATTCCTCAGACAAACATTGTCTTTGGGAAGAACTTTCTGTTAGGCTACCATTTTGAATTTGTAAGCACTTCTACTTTCTTTGCAAATCTGAGAGCTAGTTTATATCATTTTTCAATCCTGTTTGTAGGCAATTGGAATTTGTCCAAATTCCAGAGACTTAAGATCAGACAAGTGTCATCCTTAGAGACACTGTAGTTTCACGGGCTCCACTCAACCTCAATTGCTTCTCTTCTATCACTGTGATGCAAAACACTGAGCATCCTTATCTCGACAAATAACACCTTGCCAGGGATGTCTGGACTCTCAAAGGCCTCAGTGACGAACTTCTGACATAAACTAGATTGTTCTTCAGTTTAAAGTTGGAGAGGCCAGACAGAGTGGTACAGTAGTAAATACTATGCTCTGTAAAGCAATCTCAGGTAGCAAAGTTCTGGCATCAAGACTCTGCTGGGATGGGAACCAGCAGTTAGCGTAATGGCTATGTTGCTGGACTCCCACGTAGTCGACCGCGGTTCGAGTCCCGGACCCGGTGGCTTAAAACTCACACCAGGCGCGTGTGCGTGCGTGCCCAAGATCCCAAGAGGAGAATGGAGGAAAAGGGATTGCAGCATGACCATCCCCCCTGGGGGGTGATTTCTCGCTTTCTGTCTCTATGTCTCTCTCTGTCTGGCACCCTATAGTGAAAACCTCTCCAAAAAAAAAAAAAGACTCTGCTGGGAGTTTTCTTGCTCCTTCTCTCTCTCTCTCTCTCATAATAAATAATTAAATTTTAGAAAAATAGTTGGACATACACTCCTCCTCTATTTCCAACTTTTGAGGATTAGTAAATGCTGGATTTTAAATGAGATAAATAGATAAAATTATCAAAGGCTTAGACCAATTTTAATGTCACTTTTTTGGTGTTATTTTTCAAACTCTGTTTGAAAGTTTCCTTTTCTGAGGGAAAATAATTAACCTTTTTCTGTTTAACTTCATATTTATCTAAAGAAGAATTTTTTTTCTCAATTCCTCTTTCTTTCCCCCTCACATAAATTAAAGATTACCTTATCAAAAGAGTCATTGGCTTTTTATGTGCACATCCTAGGAGAAGCTAGTCCACAGAAACAGTCAAAATGCCTGAGAGAAAGAAAGAAAGTTGTTAAAATGTGTTTCTTTATGTGGACACTAAAAGTATATACACATAGTAGTCTTTAAAATTATAATTACCAGAAAAGAAGGAAATCTCTATGTCTCTCTCTGTCTGGCACCCTATAGTGAAAACCTCTCCAAAAAAAAAAAAAAAGACTCTGCTGGGAGTTTTCTTGCTCCTTCTCTCTCTCTCTCTCTCATAATAAATAATTAAATTTTAGAAAAATAGTTGGACATACACTCCTCCTCTATTTCCAACTTTTGAGGATTAGTAAATGCTGGATTTTAAATGAGATAAATAGATAAAATTATCAAAGGCTTAGACCAATTTTAATGCCACTTTTTTGGTGTTATTTTTCAAACTCTGTTTGAAAGTTTCCTTTTCTGAGGGAAAATAATTAACCTTTTTCTGTTTAACTTCATATTTATCTAAAGAAGAATTTTTTTTCTCAATTCCTCTTTCTTTCCCCCTCACATAAATTAAAGATTACCTTATCAAAAGAGTCATTGGCTTTTTATGTGCACATCCTAGGAGAAGCTAGTCCACAGAAACAGTCAAAATGCCTGAGAGAAAGAAAGAAAGTTGTTAAAATGTGTTTCTTTATGTGGACACTAAAAGTATATACACATAGTAGTCTTTAAAATTATAATTACCAGAAAAGAAGGAAAGGCATTAGTCAAAAGATTACATTTTTGGCATGAGTCTTCATAAAGTACTTTAATATAAAAACCAATGTCAACACAATATTTACATTTGTATAAGGCCAGGGTTAAATTTCTCTTGATTAAATTGAGTTTCCTACATTGATTATATGTAGGAAGATCCCACTACTTCTATAACTTGTTTAAAATTATATATGGGGGACCAGCAGTTGGCGTAATGGCTATGTTGCTGGACTCCCATGTAGTCAACTTTGGTTCAAGTCCCGGACCTGGTGGCTTAAATCACGCCGGGCGTATGTGTGTGTGTGCCCAAGATCCCGAGAGGAGAATGGAGGAGAAGGGATTGCGGCGTGGCCATCCCCCCATCCCAGGGGAGGGGCGGTGATTTCTCGCTTTCTGTCTCTCTACTTCTCTCTGTCTTTCTGGCAAGTACACATGCCCTATAGCAAAAACCTCTCCAAAATAAAAGAAAAAAGATTATATATGTAAAATTGAATTCAATTAAAATGAATAATAATAATATTTTTTAAATGTTCAATTTTATGAAATTCTTATACTGTTACAAATCATAAAGGTTTAATGTGTCAGCTAAAATAATAATTTCATGATTCTTAACTAATTTTAAGTTCTTAGGCAAGTGGTTAATTAATAAACTTTAGATGCCTTGACAATTTCTAAATAAGAAACAGATACAAATACTAGTCATTAAATGGAATTTTAGACTATTTCTTTTTTGTTTGGTTTTTTTTTGCTTTTTTGCGCATGCACTCAGTGGAGTGAGAGAGACAGTGAGAGGAAGAGAAAAAGTCAGAAATCACCTTCCAAAAGGATAGCCACACTGCAGTTCCTTCTCCATTCTCCTCTTGAAATTTTTGGGCACACACACACATGCTCCCAGTATATTTCCCAAGCTATTGGGTCTGGGACTGAAACCACAGTTTGCAACGTGGGGTCATGCTACTTAAACATCCATGCTACTGGTGGCCCTAACTTTATTTTTTAACATGATAATAAATTAGCAAAATATACAAATGCTTTCTAATTATCTATGTTTTTACATCAGAATTCTGTAAATTATGGTAGTAAATAAATACATGCTAGTAGACAGAAAAATATCTAATTTTGATTTTTCTCTACTCTTTCTTTTGTGCCTAAAGAAAAGGAAGAGTGAAACAGAGAAATATAAATACATATACAAGATAATAAGTATTATTTTCTGTTTGCTTATTTGGAGAGTTGAAACAGTTTATTTAGAGGGTAAATTTAATAAAATACATTTTATACTTAATAGATCTAATTTTATTTTATTTTATTTTTTTAGAGGTTTTCGCTATAGGGTGCGTGCACTCGCCAGCCAGACACAGAGAGACAGAGAGACTGAAAGCGAGAAATCACCCCCCAGGGGGGATGGTCACGCCGCAATCCCTTCTCCTCCATTCTCCTCTCGGGATCTTGGGCACGCACACACACGCACCCGGCGTGAGTTTAAGACACTGGGTCCAGGACTTGAACCGTGGTCGACTACGTGGGAGTCCAGTGACATAGCCATTACACTAACTGCTGGTCCCAGATCTAATTTTAATGCTCTGGTTAAACATTTTGAATTTATTACCTAATTGTATGTTTACTTATCCATGTATGTCTATGTACATTATTGACTCATTAATAACTCCTTTACTGTAGATTGTTACATGAATAATGTACAAAAAGGGTAAAATTAGAATTTAGGCCTTCTTGGGAACCAGCAGTTAGCGTAATGGCTATGTCGCTGGACTCCCACGTAGTCGACCGCGGTTCGTGTCCCGGACCCGGTGGCTTAAAACTCACGCTGGGCGCGTGTGCGTGCGTGCCCAAGATCCCGAGAGGAGAATGGAGGAGAAGGGATTGCGGCGTGACCATCCCACCTGGGGGGTGATTTCTCGCTTTCTGTCTCTATGTCTCTCTCTGTCTGTCTGGCGAGCGCACGCGCCCTACAGTGAAAATCTCTCCAAAAAAAAAAAAAAAGAATTTAGGCCTTCATCACATAAAATAATTTAGTTGTTTTATGCACATATTGTGAAGTTTTTTTCAGTAAAATATCCTGTTAACTTTCAGTGCTTTTGACATACTTTTAAATCACTTTTTAAAAGATTCCTCATATAGGGACCAGCAGATGGCATAATGGTTACCTTGCTGGATTCACATGTAGCCCACTGTGATTTGAGTCCCAGACCAGGTGATTTAAAACTCATGCTGGGTACAGGTGTGCACACCCAAAATCCTGAGAGGAGACTGGAGGAGAAGGGATTGTGGCATAGCCATCCCCTCTGGGGGGGGGGGGTAATTTCTTGCTTTCTGTCTCTCTCTGTCTCTCTGGTGAGCATACACACCCTACAGCAAAAATCTCTCTCTTAAAAACAAAACAAAACAAAACAAAAAAAAGATTCCTCATATAAAAAGAAGTTAAAGTCTTAAAGTATTATTAAATATCATGTGTTTTTATAATATTGCCTCTAATTATTTCTTGGATCTAATATTTAAGATACACTAGGTTGCCAGGAAAGTCATGCCATATATATATTTTTTTTAATGTAAAAATTCATTACAACTTTCCCAACTACCCAATATTTTGTCTCTTTGAACAATTATTTTTTCTCTCTTTCTCATATTTCATCTCTAAATCCAGAATAATCAAGCTATTCATATGTTTTTTGTGCCTAAATTCTTTTTAGACTTACTGCAATAGCCAAAAGATAATGCAAGATTTGTTCCTTCACCTTTTGAAAGGAAGGACAATGGGAATAATTAGATTTCTAAATATCTTTTGAATTTTAGTGACTCTAAAACTCTTATGAGAAGCTGCATGATGGTGTAGGGTAATGCAGCCAGACCAACATGGGCAAGATTCTGGGTTTACATTCTGAGATTTCCCTGTACACACCAGTGTATGTGCGCATGCCCATGATCAGGACCTGCAGAGACATGAGGTTAGATCATGGCATGGGGACCCTGTTGGAGGTACCTGTCACTCAGTCTCTCTCTCTCTCTTTTACTTTTTCTCTTTATAAATAAAACTAAAAGTTTAAAATTTGGGGGAGATTTTTTTTTTAATTTGTTTGTTTATTTTACCAAACTTGGTAATAAAAAGCTCAAAAATTAAAAAGAAAGTCGACTGGGGCAAGTAGCAGGTTGCGTAGTGTTTGGGATGCTGGATCCCACATGACTGATTGTCTCAGACTGGGAAGCTTGTAAAAACTTGTACACAGAGTACATGTGCATGTGTGCCCAAAATCCTGAGAGGTGAATGGAGAAGGGATTGTGGTGTGGTTATCCCTCCTGAGGAGTAATTTCTCACTTTCTGTCTTTGTCTCCAGCAAAGTGCATGCACCCTATGGCAAAAATATTTTTTTAAGATTTTTTTTTCTAAATCAATTATATTTAAGTATAATATGATAATATAAATATCTTTCAAGGATTACTTTTAAATCTAAAAAAGCATCCTCATGTTAAACACAAAGATTACTATGAAAATGTTTTCTAGGATTCTAGATTCACAAATCTATTTTTCTAGAGAAGTCTGAAGAAACAGTAAGAGCTCTGGCACAATTACATGATGTTATAGTTTGAATATGTCCCCCTGAGGTTTCTGTGTTCATCTGCTATAATGTAATTAAGAGATAGGGCCTCTGGAAAGAGATTAGTGTTTGGGTCACTAGGGTGGGGTCTCCACAGTGGAGTTCTGGTGTGTATATAAAGAGATGAGATGAAGTAGGCATAAGTAACATGGATATAGACAATGCTCTACTCTGCTCTGCTTAAGATTGTGCCCTCTGCCATGTCGTGGCCTTACCAGAAGTTGAACACTGGATCTCTAAACTGGGAGCTGAATAAACTTAGATTCCTTTATAAAAATCACCTGATCTCGGGAACCAGCAGTTAGCATAATGGCTATGTCGCTGGACTGCCACCTAGTTGACCGCAGTTCACGTCCTGGACCTGGTGGCTTAAAACTCACAACCGGGCGCCTGTGCATGCGTGCCCAAGATCCCAAGAGGAGAATGGAGGAGAAGGGATTGTGGCATGACCATCCCCTCTGGGGGGTGATTTTTCACTTTCTATGTCTCTATGTCTCTGTCTCTGTCTCTATGTCTCTGTCTGTCTGGCGAGTGCACGTGCCCTATAGCGAAAACCTCTCCGGGAAAAAAAAAAAAAATCACCTGATCACAGGTATTTCTGTTAGCAACGAAAAAAATGAACTAAGACACATGAGAATCATCAGAATTCTATTGTTTTTGTTTGTTTGTTTTTAGTTTTGCTATAGGGTGCATGTGCTCTCCAGGAAGAGAGAGAGACAGAGGGAAAGTGAGAAATCACCCCCCAGAGGGAGATGGCCACACAGTAATTCCTTCTCCTTCATTCTCCTCTCACAATTTTCAGCACACACCTGGTGTTTCTCTAGTCTCCTGGTTCATGACTTGAATCACAGAACTAATTCAACTAATCTAGGATTCAGATACCCTAACCTCTGAGTTACCTGCTAGCCCCAGAATTCTATTGTTTACTTGTCTTTTATTAGATCCAGTAGCCAAGGCATGGCTATATTGTTCTACAGCAAAGCTTATAGAAGCTTTAAATCAATTTAGTCAACTTAGTTCAAGGGCCTCTGCTAAACAATAATTTTCTTGCTATCTTTATTAATAGAAATAACTCAGGACCTTTTAGCTAGTTACCTAATCTCCTATATAATTTTGTTGATTTCCCTTCACCATTTGTCACTGTAACATTCTAAACCCAGCTGTGGAAAAATCTCATGATTGGTTATCTCTGTTAAGAACTACTGTACCTTGCATTGATCTAAAATCTCTCTTGAGTATCCTTGATTTAATTTTATTTGTTGTTGGTTTATAAGTAGGCTATGCTGT